GATAATACCTATTATCTTGTAAGCAATTGACAAAAATAAATAAATAAATATATTTTTTCTAAATGATCAGATGACCTTATAATTTTGGGACACACACACAGACACACACACACACACACACACAAATATATAGTAAACAAAGAGAAAACTCTGGACAACTGTTGCTAATGTATTGTGTAGAAAATAGGGAATGACCTTGAAGAATTGAAGGAAGAGCTGCTGTCAACAGAAAGATAAATTGGACTTAAGCCTGCGCCAAGAATCTAATGAATGAAGTTTCAGACAAGCCCTTTCAGCTTCACAAAAAAATGTGGGAAGGAAAGCAAAACACATGAAAACTTATCATAGCTGTCACAAATGAAATAAGTACTAATGTATGTTTTGTTTCTTATTGGGATCTATCTTGTAGGGCTGAGACAATGGTGGGATTCAAAAATGTTTACTACTGGTTCTGCGGGCATAGCTTGGTGGGCTTGGCAGGGGAAGGATACTGTAAAATCTCCAGTCAGAGGTGGTATTTGCCGGTTCTCCAAACTACTCAAAATTTCCACTACCGGTTTTCCAGAACTAGTCAGAACCTGCTGAATACCACCTCTGGACTGAGATATATAATTACATCTATGAGACAGACTATTCATTTGCTTACAGTACAGCAGTGCTTGTTACAAAGGACAGGGTATCAAAGTTAGAAAGCCAAGGCAAAATCCTGTCCAATCTAAAGTTTAGAACAGATCGAAGGCCAAGATAAAGGAATTAAGACCAGATGCGCTTAATTTAAAGAACATGAAAGAACAAAACCAGAAGACTGTAAGGATCAAGACAAGCCTTAAAAAATATTGGCTTAGCCCCAGAAATAAAAAAATAAAAAAATCAACAAAACACAACAATATCTGGAAACACGGAACACAACGGCCACAAATCATCCAATTTAAGCAAAATTATCTACTTTGATCGTCCCAGAGGTGATTCTATCAAAACATCATTAGAGATTCTGAAAATGGAAAATCAAACAAAAAAGAAAAATATAATTCTGAAAAAAATCTATGAGAATCCCAACAAGTCTATAATAAAAATACTGAATAGATAAAATAATTTGAAGATGAATTTATTAAAAAGCAAATGGAAAGACGAATAATAACAGCAGAAATAGTTGAAAACCAAATGAAAAAGGTTTTAAAATGGACCACTCCTGGAAATGGTCAATGCATGACTTTTGGCTCAAATTTCTGACTAGCTTACATTCAATTATAGCTAAACAACTTAATGAACTACTGTACAAAGGAGATATAAATGCTAAGTAATAACTGACAAAAATTATCTAATTCAAAAAGACCCAAAGAAAGGAACAACACAAGTAAATTATAGGCCAATAATGTGTTTGGAAAGACATTTAATTCATTATCACATAGTTGTGTCATCAAATGCTTGAAAATAATTTGTGCCAGTAAAAGCATTATAATGATTGTAGAAAATGACACAGTGGAAAACAGAATTGGTCGTAGGAAATGAAAAACAAGCTGGTTAAAATTGGAAGGTGCATATTCCAGAGTGAATCATTAACACTCTTATAATTTGTCATTGCTATGATTCCACCTTCAATGATTTTGAAGTAAATAAATATTGGCTATAAAACTGCAAAAAATGCTAACAAAATCTCACGTTTTTATATGAATAGTGTGAAGTTTTATGAAAAATCAGAAATCAAAATCCAGTCTTTGACAAACACTATAAGATTTTTAGCACAGATATAGGAGTGGAATTTGGCCTAAAATGTGCTACAGTAACAATAAATCAAGGTAAAATCACAAAGTACGTAGATAACCACTGGGAACTCCCAGGCTGGTTTATGCCACAATATTCCAATGTTGATTTTCAGATCTTGATACTTCATGAACTTCTCCAAATTTTTGTTTTCTATTCTATTCCCTAGTATTGCCACATCAATTCCACATTTCTTCTTATAGACTTCCAATATCTGGGTAAGAGAATGCTGAACTACATAGATCTTTGACCCTATCTGGAAGATCTTTATTATGCTTTTTCTTATTCTCAATTAATTGCAAAAGACTTAAATTAAATGAGAGACTTAACGATAGAAAACATATGCATGTAAATAACACATTAATAACATTTACAAGACTTTCTATTTATTCTTTATTTGCTTCTCCTTCTATTCTATTTAAGCAGATTAAAAATTAAAGCCATCATAATCTAGAAAAAATGTCACTTGTCTCATTCTATTGTCATTACCTTGGATGATTTGCTTTTAAAAATTATCTTTTATTGAAGAAGTTTTCAACATAAATAAAAGTAGATGCTAATTTAGAAATTAATAAAGAAAAGGAATGATGTAAAAAAGGAATAAAGAAAAGAAAAAAGAAAAAGGTAATAAAGAAGTTGATTTCAATCTTCTTGAAAGCAGTTATAAGTGTATTTACATTTTATCCTCTGTCATTCAAATTATATCATAATGTCCTTCTTTTCATAATCTACATTTCTAATAATCAAATCTGTAAATCACCAGCTCATTTTTTTCAGCAAAAAAGTCAATTAGAAATTTCCAATAATTAATAAATATATAGTTGTTGATTTTCTCTAAGCAATTAAGCTAATTTTGCCATCTTTGCTTGTTTTATCATGTTCACCAACTATTCCTCCATTATCTTCTATGCTTTCTTGTAAATCAAAGTCACTAAAGTTGTTTGGAAACAACTGGAACAAAGTTGTCCAGTCCTATAGATGTCCTGACATTGGAGAACATCGCCTAATAAATCTTTTTGCCAGCTCTTATTCAATGGGTAGACTTAACTTGGAGCAGACAGACACAAAGGCATCTATGATTCTTGCAGGACTTTAAAAATGATAATCAGACCAAAGATGAGAAAAGCACCTGTGATTATGCAGAAATGTTAATTGTGCCTTTTCAGTAATTCCCCATCCCACATGTTAAGAGTATCTTTATATAATTGATTTTAAAAAGAGATAAATTTGTTATTATTCCTAAGGAGAATTCATAAGGAGAAGAATAATGTTTGATGTATACATGTAAGTCATTATTATCCAAAGCTTTGTATCACGTCTATTGCTTGAATTTCATGAATATGAATTAGCATCAGTAGTGCAGATACAATCCTGTATAATATGCCCATGCAGTTTTAATGATCAAATAGTGAACAATAGCAACCATGTTGTTAAAGTTAAATCTAAATTAGGCCTCAGAAAAACATCTCATTCTTATGCAACCAGCTGTCTTCCCAACAAATAATTTGGTACTGACCTTTCCTTTAATTCATGAGTCTCAAACAGGGGTGGAATTCAAATTTCTTAACAACTGGTTCTGTGGGCGTGACCTAATTTGTGGGTGTGGCTTGGTGGTCATGTGACTGGCTGGGTGTGGCTTGTATGTAAATATTGTAAATGTATATGTAAACATTGAATATTTTATTTAAAGAAAAGAACAACTTTTACCCAAAATCAGGCAAAGCAGGCAGGCAGATTGAGCTGCTTGCAGAATCACAGCTTCACTCCCAGATCTACCTTTCTGCAATCTGCTGCCTGAGTCTGCACTGAAAAAATAGAAACTTCAATCCTAAGAAAGGTTCAGCTCTGCTCTCAGGCCACTTCTCCCTCCCCCAACCCCCTGAATACCACCCCTGACTGGACCTCAGGGAAGCCTCCTGGTCGGGGCGGGTGGGAAGGGGAGGAGCCAGCCAGTGGTGCGATTTGCCAGTTCTCCGAACTGCACAGAATTGTAACAACCGGTTCTATAGAACTGGTCCGAATTGGTAGAATCCCACCCCAGTCTCAAACTCACATCTAAAAGGCTGTATGCAGCCATTCAAGTCATTTACTGTAGCCCGCAACAATATTTTGGAGATGATGAACTTTGATAAACAGAAAATAACATAACTCAGTAATAATCCCAGATATTGGTTTTCTGATTAATGAAAAATGTTTCCAGTTAAGTGGCCAAAGTAAAACAGCTCTACTTTACAATTCCATTTGTAGTTTTGTTTGTTTAAGAAATAAATATATTTTAATGTCTAATGACATATTGAGATTTTATTTATCGCTAGAGGCTTCAACAACAACAAATAAAAGGCCCCAAGGCTATTGAATTAGCCCTTATGTGATGTTTGTGATAATTTGAAAGCCAAGGTTTAGTTCTCTGCAGGCATGGATAACAATCAGAATTCACATATTATTTGTTAATTTATTACTGCCTTCCCTGGAGTTCAGGGCAAATTCTTTGTGAAGCAGAACAATTCATGCAAAAAGTTTTCTCCAATTCTTGGAGAAAAATAAGATCCTCCAATTTTTCTATGGATTCCTTCTTGCTCCAATAAAGTTTTGTAGGTCCTATAAAACTATAAAATGCCTTCACTCTTAATTTATAGCTTTATAAAGCCTTCAATACTATATAAAAATAATATAATACAACAAATTATTGCAATAAGAATAATTAAATTATGTTAAAAAAAAAGCAACAAGATCAGCATAGAGACAAAAAAAAAAGAGCAGATGAAAATAAAATAAGGACATTTAAAAATGATTAGAAAGGAACAACAGATTCACCTCTGACATTTATTCACTATAGTCATAACATTTGAGTTTCCAAAAATTTACATGTTAATTGTTCCACTGAGAGTTGAAGGTGCGTTTCTTGTAATTCAACCTTAATCACAGAGGCTACCTCTTCAAATTGAGATCATGGGATCCTGCTCCAACAATCCTATCTAGCATACAATTTATCTGCAATCCTCGTTTTTCCAAAGAGATAGTTGAGGACTAAAGATAGCTGGAAGACTTCTCCCAGTAAAAACATTTTGTTAACTTAAACTTTCTCATTGTTTCCTCACAATGCACACTGCTGTACATTTCCCAGACCTTAATCAAAGTAACTTCAAAATAGGTAACTGATTTTGAAATGAGATGGGTGGCAAATAAATTTAATAAATAAATAAAGTCATGTCTTTAAGCTATTTTCCCACACTACTTGCCTTTGAAGAAGCAGTCTTCATTGTGGACAATAGTAATCTTCTGCTTTTTCAGGCAGGCAGCCCGGTGCACTTCACAGTGATTTTCATAGAATTCACCATCAGAACCGCAAACAGGCTTGTAATGAGACTTGCAATATTCCATGCAGGCACATTCCCCTTGTCCTGTTTCTCTATTGACAACACAATGCCTACCCAAGCCACAATACTTATTTTCACAGGATCCAGGGAAAACACCATGATTCACAGACCCTAAAAAGAAATGGAAAAGGCTGTTAGGTTATAAGCCACAATCTCATATTTTTGTCATATCCACAGTACCTATGGAGGTGTGAAGACTATTTAAAGGAAAATAATAACAAGTAGTTCTGATGATGTCATTGTACAGTAGAACCTCTGGTCATGACCATAATTTGTTCCATGACTTGGGTGATTTCTTCATCTTCTAATGTTTTGTCTTCAGGGATTTCTGAGTCAGGAGTCTTGTTTGATCTCCACTTGAGTATGTGTTCGTGACCAGATTAAAAAAATTTTGGTCAGAACCCAGTTTGGTCATGGTCAGAAGTGTTAGTGACCAGAGGTTCTACTGTACATAGAACAGGCAGATCATAGATATTTGTAATAATTGTGCCTTGGGACAAACACACTGAGAGAATAATATATTCACCAATTTCCTTTGACTTGCAAATAAATTCGAGAATTCATTAAGAATTTTATTACTTTAATAAAAATTCTAGTCCTCATGGCTCCAGTGGAAAACACAATAGAAATTCACAGTCTAATGGACATTAAATTAAAATTAATATTATTAATATTATGAATTCTATTCAGGATTTTTAAGTACCATATTACATATGTTTCTGACCACAGTAGATACCTACTCGGGGTGAAATTATTTTTTGTTCCAAAGCTACAGCTCTTTTTGTACCAGTTTGTATCGAGAAGCACCTACTTTAGTTGAAATTTGTATTTATTTTATTTATGAAATTTCTATGCTGCCCTTCTCACTAAAACAGCAACTCTGGGTAGCTTACCATGTAATAAAGGTAACTTCATTATTCTCTCCTACTTTATGAAATCAAAGTAGGCAATAGACATTAACAATTTATGATGGTTTTTACTTGATTTGTGAACAAAGGAAATTGGACTGCTTGCTTGCAATAATATCCCTTAGTAAACACTTGACACAGACCTCTCCAAATAACAGCCAATATTAGCTTCATATAATATTTGGGGATAATCTTCCAGAAGAATGGAGTGCTTGTATTTATCAAAGATGGAAATGCCTGCATATAATTTAACCTCTCAGTAGCTGGATTTCCTATTTCTGATTCTTGACCATAAACTAATCATAGCTTCATTAGATCTCCCCTAATACACAAAAACATCAGGTATCCTGGAATTTCACTGCAACACAATCAACTTTTTATAACTAATTTACTATCACTTCTTCCCACTAGACAGCGACTTCTAAAATCCCACATTATTTCTTGGCCTTTGGACTAAGATCAAACTTAGTAAATCAGAATTCAACTTATTTTGAATGTGTGACACACTGAAAAAAACAGGTGGAATATTGAAATGCCCTTAATTAAGGCAGATCTTGCTGAATATAAGACTAATACACTCAAAATATTAATACTAGAAAATGTTCTAGACTTTGGGAAACAGAACACCTTACATTTCATCAATATTTTGGCCAATATGCCACAATCACTAAGTCCACTTTTATTCTTAGCAAACTCACACTGTTTTGTGCAAAAGTTCTCTAAAGTACAGACCATATTGTAAATCAATACACTGCTGCCTACATGTGACCAACTGAAATATACACAGATCTGCCAGATATTCAGGGAAATTTTATCTAATAAATGTAAGTCCTCTACATCAGTGGTTCCCAAAGTGGGCGGTACTGCCCCCTGGGGGGCAGTGGGATGCCTTAGGGGGGCACTAAGAGGCAAGGGGGCCAGCATGGGGGCGCTAACAGGCGGCAGGGGGTTGCTGGCACTCTGTCCGGCAGCCTCAGGGGGAAGAAACAGGTGGCACGCAGATGGCTACCTCTCTCTACTTGTCGTCCAGTGCCGCAGCTCTTCCCACGGCAGAATCTACCCATGAAATAAACTTGTGTGTTTGCGTGTGTGTGTTTGTGTGTGTCAGAGGAGGAATGTGTGTTGGGGGGGAGGAAACATTTTTCTCGGAGTTTGAGCTGGGAGGGGCCAGACAAGCTGAAGCACCAATGGGAATTCTCCCTGCTCCAGTGTCATCAGTCTCTGGGCAGAGTCTCCCTTGACTTCACCCGATGGAGGAGACAGTTCCGAGCAGAGAGAGAAGTGGAGAAAGTGGGAGGGGGATCTTTTCAGTCCTGGGGGGCTACATTCTAGGGGGTCTTTCATGCCAGCTCTGGAGCAGAAGGTGGACTTCCTTTTGCGTCGTTCCCCCCCCCATGATTCTCATCCAATCCCCCTTTCTCTGAGTTTTCTTCATTATTTCTTTATTATTATTTTATCATGGTGTAAAATAGAAAAAAAAATAAAGCAAGTGAGGAAACGAGAAAAGAAAGGAAAAGTGAGGAGAAGTGTGGGAGAAAGGAGGCGCCAGCCCTGCAGGCAAGTCGGGAAAGTCTGCTGCCACTGCTACATTCTAGGTGCCGGTCCTGCAGGTCCACCCCATTGAGTCCGTTGCACTGGAGGGACTTGCCCAAGCAAGTCCAAGAGAAGCAGTGCACCAAATAAGTGGGGTGAGCCTGAGAGAGGGAAAGAGAGAGAGAGAGAAAGAGAAAAGGAAGAAAAGAAAGGGGAAAGGGAAAAAAAAGAAAAGGGGACAGACAAAGAAAGAGGAGGGAGGGAGGGAGGGAGAGAGAGAGAAATGATGATCAGATTGAAATGAGGCCTAGTTTCGACTTGAGGCCCTTTTCCATATTGAAACATCTTTGCCATCATCTTTGCCAGTACATTGAAACATCTTTGGCTTCTATTAAAGGTTTTGTGGACGAAACATGGTCAAGACTATGAGGAAGCTCTCACATTTTGTTGAGGCTTTAAACAGGATCCATTGGACCAGATCTCCACCCTAAAAAATTACTTTTCCCCAATGTATTAAATGTATTACATTTGGCAAAACCAAAATGTACTGGTAAATTACAAGGAGAATACACACACACACACACACACACACACTCCCTTCTAACCCTGCTGGAGCAGGTGATTGAACTAGAATAGATATCTCATTATCTTTCTCCTCCTTCCCTCCCTCCTTTATTTCTTTTTCTTTCTGTCCCTTCCTTCCATCCTCCCCTCTTTTTTTGTCTGTCACTTTTTCTTTCTTTTGCTTTTCTCTTTCTTTCTTTTTTCTCTCTCTTTCTCTCTCTCTCTCTCTTTTCCCTCTCTCTCTTTCCCTTTCTCAGGCTCACCCCATTGACTTGGTGCACCACTCCACTTGGACTTGCTTGGGCAGGTCCCTCCGGGGGACCGGGCTCAATGGGGTGGACCTGCGGGGGCAGCACCAAGAAATGGCAGTGGCGGCACATTTGAAAAGTAGAGCAAAGCCAGAGGTCGGTAATTTTTGCTGCAAACAATCACAAAAGCTTCTGGGCTGTGCACAAGAAGGGACACACATGGCAATGCAATTCAGCAACATAAAATAAAGAAATACAAATAAAACAAATCAACAAGAATTGGCAAAGCATCTCTGATTAGATTCTATTCACTGCTAGAACCTAATCAGAGATGCTTTGCCGATTCTAGTCCAATGACTTGCTCCAGCAGGGTTAGAAGGGAGTGTGTGTGTATGTGTGTGCATGGCTGTCAAAACTCCAAAAACAGGTCAAGTAGCTCTTGGGAGGCGAGTCATAAATTAGAACACTTGCTAAACAACTGGCCATTAACTGAGGACCACTTGTATTTGGTTTGCCAGTCACCTGGCCACGCCCACCCAGTCACATAACCACCAAACCACACCTACCAGGTCATGTGACCAGCAAGCCATTCCTAGCCAGCAAGCCACACCAGCCAGTCACATGACCAGCAAGCCATGCCCACCCAGTCATGTGATCAGCAAGCCACATCCTCAAATTAGACCACACCCACAGAAATTTGAATCCCACCCCTGGGTGGGGAGTACTGAGGATAAATTCGTAGCATCAAGGGGGCGGTGGACTGAAAAAGTTTGGGAACCACTGATTTAGATCAATGTAACAACCTCCAAATGAGACCTCTCTTTTGCAGAAATTATTGCAGTGATCAAATATTAAGTTTGCAAGTTCCAGATTGTTTTTGGTCCTGTTTCAAGATACTGCTTTATGTTACAAAGCCCTAACCCTCTACATTTATATGATCTAAAATAATTTTGACTCTTATGTAAACCTGTGTATTATAGAAGCAGTGCTAAAAGTCCCATTCTTAATCTCAACTACAAATGTTGTATTGGTAACTGCTTAAGAAAGGGACATAACAGTATCATGAAATAGAAGATCATTCTTCCTGATTTAAATTTTAATAATAGATCCTGAATTTTACTTAATAAATAGTTTGCTGTTCTAGAATGTTACTTTTTAAAATATCATTTTAATTCTATAGCAGCTTGAGCATAGGTACTTATGAATACCCTTCATTTGATCCTGGTCAAAAAGAATTATTTTAGGGTAAGCTATCTGAAGATCTAAAAGCAGAAGCTTTCATCTTTTGAACAATATGCTACAGGCCATATTTCCAAAGTGAATGGTCCAGAATAAGAACTTGGTTAGGACAGAATACAAACATAATATAAATGTATTTTAATTAATTTTAACTTAATTTAGCACAGTTATTCTTATATTTCACTAAAATTATAATTCAGAGAGAAATTTTAGAAGAACTTGGCAGGAGCTACGTTTTAGAGGGATCACAAGCAGAAATAGGGCTATACATTGTGATCATTCCTCTAAAGTTAAATTAAATTATAAAGCACTCATAATTTAATACCACACAGCTAAGAAAGCCTAATGCTTTCCAAATGATATATAATCTCCAACCAGATTGTTAAATGCATGATTCGGAGACTGTGACATGTTCTGATTTCTTTATTTTTTAAGCACATAACTTGAAGTGTTTACACTGCCTCTTCTACAGTATAATTTAACTTTCAATGTTCCATATAAAGACGAATGCAATATAAATATTTCTGTTTACTAGTGAATTGTAACTCAGATGATAGCTTTGCAAAGCCTGTTCAGTAAGGTAAGTTTCCAGAGATCAAAATGCACATCCATTTACCAG